TATCTTCTTCCCTGTCTAAGGCGCTACGTACTACTTAAAAATATAATGATGTAATTTAAAAAATAAACGATTTTTTTAATTCCTAGCACCACAAAATTACACCGAAGTTAGTTTCATATTGTAAACTACTAGCGGCAATCTACATTGCGTACTCTTATCGGATGCGTCTTCTTAGACCATTTATTTCTATTGAATATCATGTCTTTACTGCTTATTACCATGATATTCATATATTATGTTTCGTGAGAACTTTTTTATTAAAAAATAAACCGATCTCAAAAGCTTGCATATCGACTTTTATATTGAAATTACATCTATTTGCCACGTTTTATTATAATCGGTTAACGGAAAGTGCGCGATACGGGATTCATCCCCTAGTTTGCCACCCTTAGAGGTGGAATATTTTCTTCAAATTTAAATGGTACCAATACGGAAGTAACCTCTTTCAACAAAAAAAATCATTAAAATCGGTTCACAAATGACGGAGTCATCGCAAAACACACACACACAAAAATACAGTCAGATTGAGAAGATATCTTTTTTGAAGTCGGTCATAAATACTCTACAAGTTCGATATTATTATTGATACGCTAGAGCAAAAAAAGCCGTTTAAACATGGTTGTTTAAACCCAATACAAAAATTCGCAATTGGCAATATACAGTAATTCGTAAGATCTGTTGCCTCGATCTGTAGCTAAGTTAGTAAAAGTGGTAGCTACGGTAAGGCAACAGCATTGGTTCGAACCCTTTTCCATTCCTCCTGTCCTCTTTTCTTTGTGTTTGATAGATCTTTGGGTCATTAATAATAAAACTCTAATATATAGATAATAATTACAATTTGATACATGGCACTATTCAACAATTTGTAATTAAAGTAAATATTTTAAGTTACAGTCGGAATCACATTACATCTGGCTTTGAGCCGTTCTTATCACATATTATCTTAGAGTCGTATTCTAGAACTCTACTCAATGCTCGAGTCAGAACTTGAGTATGATTCAAAGCACTAGAAATCATACTCAAGTCGTTGCCATTAGGGTCGTATTTCCAGTGCTTGAAATCATACTCAAGTCTGCTCAAGTCCTGACTTGAGCATTGAGTAGAGTTCTGGAATACGACCCTTAGACTTTTATTTTTTTCCATCCTCTAAGCATATTATACTCTGAATAGAGTTGAATTTCTTAAAAAAAGTCTTAAACTTATGTCTGACATGCTTTTGATTCTGTGCGTATTTGCGTGTAAACTTTGGTAGAACAAGGAGCGATTTTATTCCTATTAAGAACCTTCTGTACAGTCACGTACACAACAACCATGACATTTGAACTTTAGAACCTTTTAATCACAAATGGCATACAGTTGTAGTAACGTGTCTTGTGTCGAATACCAGCAACCGGTAAATAGTGGCGAGTGATACGACCACTATATATGCGCAGACGCAGACATTATGTTTACGCTGGACATACACACCGATTGCCAGTCAAAAAATGTCCGATAGATATTACTGCAGACAAGGTTGATTTGCTTTTTTGTATGATACCAAGCAACGGGACGAACAAGTCGTGCGCCTGGTGGTAAGCGACACGCCTGTCCAAAACAGTTGCAGTATCACTCAGTGCTTCAAATCACAAAGATCTGAGGGGCACTGCCATTGCGCCCGTCACCCTGTGACATTGACAAGTCACATGTGCCTGTAATTTCACTAGCACCCTTATCCTTCAAAACCGGAACACATTGATACTGACATTACGGATTGGCGGCAGAAAAGGTGGATGTACTTCCCTGGACGAAATCTTTAACTAGGAGCTCTACGGCTACTAAATACATCTGTAAATAATGCCTGTAAATATTGACAGCGTCGCCAGGTTTGTACGCACCCTTACCTATTTCTGCCGTCAAGCAATAATGTGAGCGTTACTGCGTTTCAGTTTTGAAAGGTCAGGGTGCAAGTGAGATTACAGACACATGGGATTTGCCAACTTATGTCTCTGCCTCTTTAACTGCCTCCGTAGCCGAACAGTTACCATGCCGGACTGCCACGCAGAGGTCCCAGGTTCGACTCCCGGGCCGGGAAATATTTGTACGGCCTACATTTATTTCTCTCAGAGTTTGGGTGTAATTTGTGGTTGTGTATGTGTGTGTCCATGGCACCCGCGACACAGGGTTTCCCTAGAACGGGGCTATGTTGAGTGTTTGCGTTATTTTTCCTTAATTCTCAGAGTAGGCAGTGCCTCTCAGACCTTTGCGATTTAAAGCTCTGAGTGGCATTGCGACTGTCATGGATAGTCGTTTCGCTTACCACCAACGTATGACTTGTTCGTGCACATAAAAAAATATTTTTACAAGTCATTATATCTTTGTTGTGTACTAATTCCGGTAAAGATTATTGTAAAGAAATGTTTTTTATTAAAATATAACTGACAACATACCATACCACAGCTCAACCAAGTCTCATTTATATGCTTGAGCTTGTTTCATTTTGTTCCTGACTAAAATTAGTTTTAACTCGTTCGCGATGACGTTACGGGGACAATTTGAGTATTTCTATTTGTTGTTGTTTTTCCATTTAAAAATTACAATTTATTGCAAATAATGCTTATGATACAGAATAAGTACTTATTGACGGCAATTAAAAACTTTTTTCTCAAATTAGAGAATTCCGTGTACAATAAATACCAATGCAACGGAATTCACTCTGGGGCAATTCCCAGAACACCCAGACCAGAACCAATTTAGAAAAGTTCATTTTCTAATTTGGTCTTTCCGGGAATCCAACCTGGGACAATAATAAACGATTAGCCCACCGACGTCAACCAGTTAAGTATTAAAAAAAGTGTATGCTGGTATGCCAAAAGAACATACGTAGGTATGGCAAAAACAATGAATTGTTACTATAATAAATGTTTTTTTTTTGTGAACTACCACATCAAAAGTGTCTAGGGATCAAGTACGTTTAAGAGTATTGCTGCAATTAGGGTTAATTATATTAACTTTTTTGTATCGCTATTGATACTTTTTAGTGAGTTTTAACATTTAAATAAGGAATATTGTTTAAAATTCGATAATAAGAAGAAAATCGATTGTCAATGTGGTTTTGTATGAAAATGAGTTATAGCGTTTTGACAAAATCATTACAATATCTGCATCGGAACCGAAACAATTTACATTATTATGGAGAGACGACATCATTTAACCCGAGAAGTGATGATGCGAGCCGTCGGAATGTTGGAAGCTGGTTCCAGGCAACGTGCTGTGGCTTTCACTCTTAACACTACACAGAGCGTCATAAGTCGCCTCTGGACGCGCTATCGCATGACGGACATGACGGACGGAGCGACATGGAGGACGATCTCGCATCACGACTCGCAGACAGGACCGGTATATCCAAAATACTGCTCGACGGAATCGTACCATGACCGCCATGATGTTGGTTACGAGGCTCCACAGCTCCTCAGGCTTGCTAATAAGCGATCAAACAATCCGAAATCGTTTACGTGAAGTGGGTCTGCGATCCCGAAGGCCGCTCAGAGTTCCACCTATTGCACCCTGCAATCGCAGGACCCGTTTACGATGGGCTCGCGAACACAGAAACTGGGAGGAAGAAGACTGGCGCTATGTGTGCTTTTCGGATGAATCCCGCTTCGGTATGAGACCGGATACAAGACGTACTCGAGTTTGGAGAACATCTGGACGTCATGAACGTTTGAGATATTGTCAGGAAGTTCATCCACATGGTGAGGGAACAATAATGATATGGGCCGGTATTTGGATCGGCGGAAGAACCGATCTCATTTGGATCAGGGGTAACCTCAATGCTCAAGTTTACGCAGAGAGGATTGTTTCAAATGTTATCATCCCTTTGCGAGGCCAGTTGGGTGATTCATTTCAACTAATGCATGACAACGCACGTCCACACACGGCTAGTCGTAACACGCATTCTTGCCGAAGCTCGTATCAACGTTCTGCCGTGGCCTGCTCAATCGCCAGACCTCAATCCAATTGAGCACGCATGGGATATGCTTCAAAGAAGAGCTGTGCCGAGTATGCATACCGTACATAGGTACTCTACAACAATATTTTGACTTGTTACAAAACACATGGGCGGCCATTCCTCAAAGTGATTTTGATGAACTCATCTTAAGCATGCCAAATCGCTGTGTGATTCGTGTTAATGGTGGAAATACAGATTATTAATTTTCTTATCTTTACAATAAAAATGAGCAAAATCATCATTTTCGCCATTTTTTTGTCATTTAATTGCCGCCGTTAATTTGAGTTTTTTCCCACAATTTGCAAAAACATCAATTTTAGTTTATTTTAATTAAATATAGGGGTAAGCGGTTAAATAAAACATAAGCATTAAAGTAAGAAGTCGTCCTGGAAGACTGGATTTGGTAAAATTTGCTTAAATAATTTTTATTTCAAAAATATTGATCCCTAGACACTTTTGATGTGTGTATATGATTTTAATATATTTATAAAAAAATTAATAAGGTTTATCTTGTTTCATTTTTCTAATACGCAATATCTCCCAACAATAATAGGATATTTTTACCGAATTATTTTTCTTTGATACTGAGTCACCATTTCATCATTTTCTCACTGTCGGCTGCAGGTACAGGGGTAGTTTTTAGATTTTTAGTATCTGTTGTTAAAGGCTGCTAATTAGCGATATTTTAAGATGACGAATGTGATATTTATCTGCTTGTTGACCCCGTCGTCGTTGTGCTTGGCCAAGCCTGCTGAATCACGTAAGTTACAGACAAAAATCGGGCAAGCAAAACTATCATCGCGCTCGATCGGTATCTCCTTACGACAACTGCGTATTTATCATACTGCTGTTGGGAAATACCACACTTATCTTCAACCAGGAAGCGCAGGAAAGAAAAAAAATTGTTCAATTTCTTTTTTATCCGATTTTATTGTTTCCGAGATTATGCCATGCATTTTTGTTCCAAAAATCTAGATTTCGACTGTAGTGACAGCGTTGAGAGTTAAATGATGCAATTAGAAATTGAAAGTCAATTCAATTCATTGACATTTTAATTTAGTGGTTACTAATTTTGTCGCTAGATGCCACTGCTGGTCGAAGTAACACATGCCATTGCCACCTTGCAAATTATGTAGGTACCTCATAATACGGAATATCTGAAGACCTGGACTTTCTTATTCAATGGATATGGATATTCAATTACATAAGTGTGAATTCACAAGCGCGCTAGACGTTTGCTATTTCTTCAACCTTCACTGTACCATCCTGCACAATCTTAAGAAATCCGAGGAACAGCTTCGTCATTTTGTTGACTATTGAAAACTCGCAAATTTCAAGAGCATTTTCCGGTGTTACGTTCGCTAATATTTTCGATATGCACTCGTTTTTCAAATCGTCCATCATGTAACACGAAGCTAGCAACAAAAGGTTTTCTAGACCGTCGTCAGGCAACACGCCCATGTAAATATAGTCTTTTAGATGTTGTAGCGTTGATAAGTCGGTTTTCGCAAACCTGTACCAACTGTTTTCGAGCCAATTGTTCTCGCCTTCTAAGAAAGTTTTAAGCACTGGGCTGGAGATGGCTAGCACAACTCTGTGCACAGGAACAGAACCTTGTTCACAACGCAACTCGAAATCTGTTAGTGATGTGTCACTACGTAGAGAAGCAAACGGATTTCTTTTGATACAATTTTCGTCCAATGCTACTAAGAGTACAGCATTTACATTTCTTAGAGATATAATATTTGTATATTGGCGTGCGAAATTTTTCAACACTTTGCCAGTAACTCCAAGGTCTGATTCAATTACGTCGAATTCTGACAATGAATACCATGAATCTATATCGCCATCCAAAATCTTTATCACTCTAGTGTGCATATCTATATTTATCACCTGAAGAAGCTGTCGAAGAGTACGAAAAATATGTTTCAGAGATTGTCACGAAGGAGTGGCATAAATGTTTTCAAAATTGGTTCATTCGTATGAAAAAGTGCATTAACGCTAACGGAGATTATTTTGAGAAACAATAAATTCATTTCATATTTTTCTTACTCGGAACAATAGTTATTTTATCCGACTGCGTTCAGGATATTGAAATTGAACATTTTACCATAGGTATTTTAGTTACCTCGTGTGTATAGCTTTTATTCTTTTCTCTTCGAACTTTACATGGCAATGTCAATATAAATGCACGAGCGCCTGTCGGTCTAAATTTGATATTGTAGACACCAAGGCTCAACCGGACAGAGTTGAGATCCGTATTGAATACTGAACTGCCTCCACTGCACTGCATACTATTACTACAAATTGACCAGCACCCGGAGTTAATAACTTCGCGGAATCAATAACGTGGCGTCGGATTCAGTAAGGCTTCGTTCACACGGCGTTGTTTTTTTTTATACGTGACAGATAGACGACTCCACTCCACCTGATGTTAAACGGAAAGTGGAATCCAAACGTGATCGAACCTAGTTCAGTGTTGATACAATCACTCCTAGTCAACTGCACCCTGCATGCCTACAAGATGTCTTTTCACACCTCTTTTGAAGGAACCCATATCGTAAGGCGAAGGGAATGCGTGCGCTGGAAGGAAGTTAGAATCAGACGAAGTAGCCACCAAACCTTTTATTTCATGATAGAATACGGCAAGTTGTAAAGCTGTCTCTACGAAGGCCAGCACGCGTGCTTTCTTCAGAGCACTCGCCATGGTATATCCGGTAAAAGGCGCTAAGCGTTGCAACATTTCTACGCAATTGCAGACGTTCAAGGTGGGATGAGACCTCCTCATCGCCTATAACTCGTGAGGCACAACGCTGCAAACTGTCCAAGACATCGTGTACTGCGCGTTTTTTATAGAATTCGATTTTAAACAGATAATACGATACATACACGATACATTTTCACTCGTCTAATATATATATAAATAAATATTAGACAACATCACATACGTTGCACTGATCCCAAAGTAAGTAGCTAAAGCACTTGTATTACGGAAATCGGAAACAACGAAGGTACCACAAACACCCAGACCCGAGACAATATAGAAAAATTAGTTTCTACATTGACCCGGCCGGAGACAGCGACACCATGAAAAACGGTGTGCAAGCCACTCGACCACGGAGATCTAACAGACTGAAAACTGCAGTATTAAGTACACGTCTAAGATGGATTCACGCTTTGTTGCACTTTTATGTTGGTATAGAAGACGGCAACTGTTTCACCGTCATTGTAACAGAAAATAATGGGTTCATCCTGTAAATCAAGAAGCAGTGCGTACAACCAAATTTGAAAATTTGAGACGAAACGAAAATCTAAGAAAAATAAAAAGTTTTTTCAATTACTTTAGGATGCCCATAAACAGTTTTGACAATTTGTTCAGTGGAGAATACGAGTTTACCAAAAATAAACACGGTTCGGTTCGATTGCTATTCGATAAGAAATGTGTCATACATTGTCATACATTTCTTATCACGCCCCGTGTGAGATGGTGTAATACAATACGCTACTGCAATCCGAGTAAGTCATCAGTTTACTTGACAACTCCGGTGAGTATTCGATGAACGTGTTTTTTACGGTACTTACAAACTACGCCTGAAAAGTTCAATATACGTGAGCGAAGCCTATGGGAATCGACTCGCGGAATCGGACTATTTCACTCTTTGACTCCGGAGTTACCCATGTATACATTCGCCAACGAATGGTGACCTCAGTAGAGTACCTACCTCATTTTTTGGTCGATAATTAATTATAACAGTAATTGCAGAATGATAAACGTAAACAAAGGCAAGACAAGTTACAAGATGTGTGTGAAACTGAATGTACGTATAATAATAACTCTTACAATTACAAATTCCTAGAAAACAAAAAAGTTTCTCGGCGTTTCTTTTACCGGCAACAAGAACAATAATCTAAAAATTAAAATACGATACCATTGCAACCGTTTTAAGATTCAAATGTATCTGTCCACTTTTTAACTATATGTATAGGTACTTACTTCATTTTGGTTTTATTTGAGAAATGAATAAACTCTAAAATAATCGTAATACTTTATAGATTGTAACCGCAATACCTAGTTTTTTATGTAAAATGATTTTTACACTGACGACTCAAGTGGTAAAGAACATAAACTTACTTTCGTTTGGGATTACAGATTACACTAAAGTATTCCTTTGTTTCTATCTTGCAATTTATTAGTCAAACTAACAATAACAGCCTGTACGAAAATTAACTCGGTTAGAATGACACTTGTTGCGACACATGTTTTATTTTATTAAGAATTTTGGCATGGATACAAGTCGTTTGAGCCATGTCTTCGTTTAATTATCGGGATCTTCATTATTATAAATATTTTCCATTGTAGTTCTACAACATAATGTTTTCACTTTCATTAAATAATTTAGTTCTCTTGTTTGGGCTGTCTAAATAGTTATGCGGCGGGAGTCAATATTTATGTTTTCACTTTCACCTATATCACATTATTATTGTCACTTTCAACAAAAACTTTGAATTCGTAATTATTGGAATTTTCATAATAAACGCTTTTGTAATTCGGTTTAAAATAAGGAATATAGTTCTAACTTTCTTCGTATATATTCATAATATACTTAAAATAAAATTAATCTTTGTAAAAACTGTACTTGCCTACCTTTTTTTTCAGAATGACACATGTCAAAAGTTCATTAATCAGTGATAGGGAAACGATCAGTGACACCGAGAATCGATGTTAATATCGGCTGAACTATGACATTCTAATCGGTGTTATCATATCAAAGTGATAACTGAAATCCACTCAAGAATTCATTAATAGGAGGACCCGCCCCACAAATGATGTCAAATAGGCGTGACACGACTGTTTGTTAATTTTCGTTTATTAGAGATCCTTATGTCATTTTAGGTAAATATACACTTTTTCGCTGTTTTCAAAGAGGTCCCAATAGTAAAAGTTGTAAAATGTGCAGAATTCGTAAGGGCATCGTGTAATCCATTTACGTCTCGAGCTGGACGTGTCTCACCCAGAGGAATAAAATGATAACTTTTTTATGAATTGTGGCCTGGTGATGTGATGGTGATGTACGCAGTGTTAGTTATTACATCTAAGAAGTTTCTTGTTTTACTTACTTATATTTGAGTAGTTTCCGAGAGCAATTACCATATTTATTACTCAAGGTTTGACGTAAATTGTACTACTTAGGCTTAAAATAATAACACATACCTAAGTACAAAAGGTGTGTGGAAAAATAGCTAAATCTAAGCACCATAAGGATAGGTAACTTCAGTAGATCGGCAGTTCTCTTAGAAGGGCTAAATTCTTATAATAATAATAATAATAATAAGTCGCATTTTTTTTTAATTTCAGGAAAAGCATTGAGCGGGATGGTAAAAGAACTCAAAGTTACATAAGATTCCGTTAATTGGGCAACTAGATTCTTAATAGATAATGATATATTTGATCCACCAAATTCTGCTACCACCGAAATTGGATATGTTTTAAAAAAGCATGATTTTTGTTTAAAATATTATGAAAAAGACAATAATAACATTCAATAATCTACATAAACATTTACTAATATGACTAAGTATTAAATTAGGCTTTAAAAACTAAAATTTATTTATAAATTGACCAGTACTACTAGCAAACTAATTTCGTCTTATGACTATTAATTAAAATCAGTTTACAGTTTGGCTGTTCAGCTTTTTTCAGTCACACAATTATATATTATATAGTATTTCCGTACCTCTTTAAAAAAAATAGAACGTAATCTGTAGCTACAAAAGCAATAAATTCTTGGAAACTTGCGCGATTAATATCTTTCATTACTTTATATAAATGACGAGGTAATTCATGCAGCTTCAAAATCTTTCCTTCCGCTTTTTCTTCGCATACCACTGTTTATCTTTTTTTCTTTAAACCTTTCATATATAATGGGATCGCTTTTTATCTTTGCTTTTCTAGCACGTTACTTCATCTTCTTGATTTCCAATTTTTGTTTTCTGTTTTAATTTTATATATATAT